CCCCCTCCGCTTGCAGACCGGCTACATGTTTGGGAAGGGCATCTATTTTGCAGACATGGTATCCAAGAGTGCCAACTACTGTCACACATCTCAGGCTGATCCCATAGGCTTAGTACTACTGGGAGAAGTTGCCCTTGGAAATATGTAAGTAACTTACAAAGAGTATTTGCCAAACATGCTTAATACATTGTGATAGAAGGTGATGCTAAAATTGCAAGCTTTTTTGCTGTGTGAAGAAAGAGCATGTGGTATTTCTTTAGAAACAAGATTTCTGTTTTCTTAAAATGAGAGCTATTTCGTGGGACAAAAAAAAAAATAATCCATGTTGGAGATCTAGAATCTTGTACTAAATGCCAATAGTATTAAAATTAGTAACTCAGACTAAGAAGGAAGGCTGTTGAGTTCCAGAAGAGTAGAATCTAAATTAACTTTATATTAACTCACCATAAACTGAAGCCTGAAAAAAAAAAATGATTTTTTCACCAAGATAGTTTAAGATGAATGTAAAATGCTATTGTGCGTTCTTTGTGCTCTGCAGGTATGAGCTAAAGAATGCTTCTCACATAACAAAATTGCCCAAGGGAAAACATAGTGTGAAAGGTAAGCATTAGTAGTTGTCATTAGTAATCTGTTATTGATGGCAAACTTGTGTTGTGGCTCTTTCCTCAGCAAAGAGAACTACAGTCCTTTCATAGCTGTACTTCCTTTAAGAGTTTGCATAATGTTGCCCTGTAGTTGTGTCTGTATACGTGTATGTGGTGTTTTGAGATGGGAGTTAGTACACTTGGATTGTTAAAGACTGAAGTTAATGTGTTGCCTGAAGTTCAGGGGAAAATTTCATTTGATATTATGCAAGAGAAAATGTAAGGTGCATTCTCCAACTTCTTTCTCGCTTTCGTCATAACAATACTGTGTTTTTTAGAAGAAAGATTAGAGGTTTGATAGATCAGAAGAATCATTGTTTAACTTTCAAAGTGCCATAGAAGCTTGGAGAGAAGGGAAAAGCTAAGAATAAAAGTTCAGATGAAACAGCTGCTCTCGTTACACTTCTATCTGCAAAAAGTATCAATATATTGCACTGAAAAAGAAGATGAGAGAAAAGATTTAGTGCTCTAATTCAAGCAAAAGAAATGGTAATCATGACTATCTTCTGTACTGAGTGGAGAACAGTAACATTCAGTAATGAGTGGCTTTTCTTAAACTATTCATTTTGAGAGGCTTAAAAATCAGTTGCCTGAAATAGAATAAAGTGTGATTTAGCATCTTTTTCAATACATACTACTCACACTATTATGGATGTCAAATCAGATTTGTATTGAAGAGTTTAAAGAGAATGAGAATTGGTTTGTTAGTCTTCTCTGAAAATGCTGCAGTGTGCATGTTTTCATTAACGGACCTAGGATATGAGAGCTATAAGTCTAGTCTGTTTTAGCTTTGATCATACAGATTAGTCATTTAACAGCCAAAGTCTAAAATTCTCAGTTTTAATGTAGCAGAATACGACTACCATAAATATGGTGATGCTGAATTGAATAAACAGACTATATGCTTTGTGGAGTTTTTTTAAGACACTTTTGCACTTGGTCAGCATTTGAAAATACACATGAAGTAATATTTGGCTGGCTGAGTCATTTTCTTTGTGTGCAAAGTCTGTGTTTGCCTTCTAGATTTGTAACTGATGTTTTTTCCCTTTCTAGGCTTGGGCAAAACTGCACCTGATCCCACAGCCACTACCACCCTTGGTGGTGTAGAAGTCCCCTTAGGGAATGGGATCTCAACAGGAATTAATGATACCTGTCTTCTGTATAATGAGTATCCTTTGCTATTATGTTGGCTGCACCCTGTGTTTCAGTGTTGCTGAGTTTAGCAGGACCTCACTACTGTCAGTCAGGAGTTTTGGCACACTGTGTTTTGCTTCTTCTAGATCTGCTTTGGAGTACTCACAGACAATTTAGAGTCTCTTCTCCAAGGGAGATGATCTTACAGTTGTCACACTTAAATTGTCATTCTGCAAAAAAAGGAAACAATACATGTAGCAAATAGCTGTTGCCCAGACAGGACTCGATACCTGAAGGCATTGGAGTGGCCAGGTGACACTGCCTGGGAGTGCTTTGCCCTGCGATGTGCCAGGACAAGGGGAGGGGAATGCAGCCTGTGGTTTCACATCACTCCAGTCGGGTTTCTTCCTTGTGGTGCTGTGGCTGGCCACCTTGGCCAGGAGAAGGTGGGGGAGCCAGCTCTGTGGCTTGATGGAGTCTTGTCACACAGCTTCTCTTGTGTTCCCCAGACCCTTTGCAAGTATTGAGGTAAACCTCAGATGTGCATCAGAGATGTAACCATTAAGCCTTTCTAGGCAGAAGTGCCCCCAAGTGAATGTGTGCTCAACATTCACAAGAGGTCATAAGAATAAGTGATGTCTGAGGTCCCGGATCAATCTCTTCACTGCCCGTGAAACAAGTAACCCATTAATAAACCCTCTGGGTTGTGTAGAAACTGTCTTCTCTCTTGATAAGCTGTTTCCCTCTTACAAGCCATCTTGGCAACAGAACTCATGGCAATATGTGGGGTTTTTTTTATCTGGAGTTTTCTTAAATATAGCATCTGTCTTGGTCAGAAAATAAACTATAATGCAGTTAATATTAGCTAGGTGAAGTAACATGGTGTGCGTTCATTTTGTTTTACACTGTGTTTAATGGAGATGCTTTTCATCTAAAATTGGGATTAGAGGTAAGTTTGAGGCCTAAAGCATAGAGAAACAAATAGGTGAGCTGGGACTGTCTTCTGAAAAAATGAAATGGTGTGGTCATAGAATGTGCAAGCACTGCCAACCATTGTAGAGCTCTTCTCTGTGATTCCAGTTTGGGTGTTTTAGTGGGAAATTAAGAGGACTAATGACTTGTGCTGGAAAGTAGCAGTAGAGATGCAATTATAATTGTAGGTGCCAGGTCTGTAACTGCAGATCTCATCTAGGCTACATAGCTCCACTGTAGATAGCGAGAGAGATGACGTGTATTACGGCTCTGGCTGACAAAAAATAATCTACAAGAGCTACAGCCCCATATCTAAGTCAGTTCACCTGCCTGTCACTCAGGATTCCTGCTGCACCATCGTTAATTTAGTTGCTTATTTCTATTGTATAAAACATTTTCAGATTCAAAGAAAAGTCAAATTTAAAGATGTGTGGTTTGAGCTGTTAGAACTGCTTAATCACACAGGCATCTGTGTGGTAACTTATGTTCAAAGGTGAAGTTTGACTGTGTTTTGAGGTTTTTCTGTGTTAATAGCAACTGTAATTATTCCTTAACATTCTTCCCAGGTATATTGTGTATGATGTTGCTCAGGTAAATCTGAAGTACCTGCTGAAACTGAAATTCAACTATAAGACATCACTCTGGTGAACAGTATTTAGAAACCCTGTTAGAGTTATACTGTAGTTACACTATAGCGTTGACTTCTGACATGCTTACGCATTGACTTCTCTTACCAAGATATCAAGAGCTAAACTGCAGAAGAGGTTACTAAATCCTATTTAGTAAAACACGTAGTGAAAGTTTTATATAAATGTGTGGCAACACATGGACCTGAATTCTGGTGAGAAAGAGTACCTGGTTTTGTTTTATACCACTTCTAATTTGGGGGCTTTCAAGTGTTTCTTTTAATTGACCAAACTGACAAAAAAAAATCAAGCTTGTGTTTTTAGCCAAACAGAGCTGGGCAATAGCAGGAGAAGGAACTTGAGGATGTTTGCGATATTAGCTTTGTTAAGGTTCCCTCTTGTTTAAGATACCCTTTTTCGGTTTTCATTTGAATAAATGATAAATGTGCATTTATTTTGAGGTAAAAAATAAAAGCTAATTTCATACTAACAGCTTTATGTTTCAAAACTTCCAAATTGTTTTGGTTTTGAGTCATGATTTAAATGTATTTGGTAGAATGTTCTTAAACATGATGTCTCTCTCTGAAGATCAAATGCCAAATATTGAAATCTGTAGTCACGTTTCAGGAAGTCATGGTGAAATGAAAATTTGGACTTTCCACTGAGACTTCATCTGTTAAGAGTTGGTGTGGTAAACATGGAAAATGAACTTGTGGCTGTTTGAATTTAGTATTAGCCCCAATAAACCTCCTTTAAATATCTACCTTCAACATGATGTAAGTTGGTTGTTGTAGACTCATGTCCCGGCAAAGCCGTAAGTTGAGTTTATGCTCAAGCTTCACTCATCATGACCTGGGGTGAGATCTGTTGCCACTCTGTGGGTAGTCTTGAATTCCCTGTCTTGAAACATCAATATAAACTGATAATTTCCATGTTTAGTGATGTTTGTTACTTCTCACTTTCAGTAAGTCATTGAGCAATATGGGATTACTTGACTGTAGAGCAACATCAGTTCCTTCTCTTCAAAAATTACTGATTTCCCTGAGCTATTAGGGCAAGTTGGCTAATCCCCAGGGACAGCTCTTCATTGGCAGTGCATTCAGGATCTTCTCCACTATGAGAGCTCCCTTCCCAAGAAGGGCAAGTTCAAGCTCATTTTGAATGGTTGCAGCTTCAGTCTTTGGTAACCTGTGTAGAAATAGCAGATCCGTCTCCTAAAACGTCATGTCCTGGTGTCTTTTGAAAAAGGAGTTCAAAGCCAAAGTGATTGCTAACGGTGCAGCTGTTTCCAGGACCCCTGAAGGAGAGGAGGATGAGGAGTGGTAGATGGAAAACAAAGCTGCTGTTGGGGAGAGAAGGAGATGTGGAAGGACTGGATAAGTCGTATGGCTTGTGGACAGTTCAGCACAAGAGAATCGATTGAGGTTGGTGCTAATGGATTTTGAGAGGAAGTGAAGAGAGTGGCCCTTCTGGTTCTTCAGTAGCTTAATCAGTGGCTAATCATTGTTTTACTTCCCACAGAAACTTTTGGTCAGTCACTTCAGTTTAATCTTGTCAGTCTCTGAAAGAGAACGGGAGAACTGGTTCAGTTTAGTTGTGAGATAGACTTTACCACCCGAGGAGGGGGATAAAAAAAAAATTAAAAAAAACCAACACAGCTTACAGTTCAATTTGGACCAGGAATTAAAGGTAGATGCTTTTGATGTTCCCTCTGTCACCTGCACCAGCAGTGGCTTAAAGTTCCCTTTTGCTTCAACCCAAGCCCCCAAGGAGTGCCTTACGATGTGTATGTAGCACTCAGTTAGAATTGCAGCAGAAGCCAGTAGATCCCAAGCTATCTCTAACCTCGCAAATACAGCAGTAAAGGATACAGTGGGACAGGACTTTCTGAAGAGGCAGCGGGTGCCCTTTGGCGACTGTACGAGAGCCCTGGCATGACTGTCCCTCAGTGAAATCTCACGTGAATTTAGGGGCTGCTTCTGCTGCCGCCTTGTCCGGTCGCAAAGCAGACCTGCTTTTCCTGAAAGCAGGCGCCGGTGCCGCTGTGCCCCAGCACACGGCCAGCCTCTCCCGGGACCAGGCTGAGAAGAGCAGCATGGTGACAACCACTGAGAGCATTACTTGTGGAGTATATGCCTGAAGCAGAGCTGGATGAATAGGTAGTCCCATTTCTGTCAAAAGTACTTGAAAGGAACCAGTTGTGAAGACATTAGGTCCCACGATAGACTCTGCTTTTTTAAGAAGAGGGATGTTGAGGAATGACTTCTGATGTAAATGTTAAACTACAAAAAGCAGCAATTCATAAATATTTAACCATTTTATCTTTATTTAGTGTGGCTGGAGGCTCTGTTGTACAATGGCTCACAAATGTTAAGATATTCCATGCAGTTCATATGAATTGGGTAAACTGAAGGAAGCCAGCCTAGGCTTACTGATTGGCAGTGAGTGTAAATTGTTTGTGACTTGCCCAAGTTCATGCAGGAAAGAAATGGCTGGGGAAGAAAATACAGCACAGGTCACCCAACACAGTACTTCAGCCATAAAACAATCATTAAATCAGTTCGTACAGCCTTTTATGAAATCCGCCCCTGCCCCCTTCTGTTTCTAATCAGAGGAAACGTTTAAAAAAAAAAAAATTATATATGAAAAAGAACTTTGGGCACATCAAACTTTCTCAATACCATAAAGAGTTGCACTCATGTTCTTAAATGAGTCATGCAGTGTTTGTAACTACTGAGGTCTTTGCTTCAGCTTTCTTTCTGGAAGACTGTGCCAGACCTCCCTCTATGAGTTCTGGGGACATAACTGTCTGTGGAAGTGTTTTTGTGGCCAATTTATATCCCACTTAGTATTTTGTTTAAATTGCTTTTATATATGTGGTGAGGCCCCTAACTTAGTCAATTATACTCTCCCTCCTTTTGTTACACCCATTAAAAAATAAAAATAGTTTCCACTGTTGTGGAGTCCGTGCATCTGACCAAGAGCTTGTGTGTCCTTTTGATTTTAAATAAATGCCAGGCTGCTTCTCCAGAAATGATCATTTTGGAGATGCAGTGGCACCTATAAGAAGAAACGCAGATGTAGATCCCCACCGAGATGACTTGCTGGTTTTCCTTCATTCCCATGTGAAGGTAGCATGTGGGCCAGCGGGCATTGCAAGTCACTTTCTCAGAAGGTGAGATACGCAAGTACAGTCTGAAAGTGGGAAGAAGGAATGGCTTCCCAACAACTGAAAGGGGAAACTACTGCTTCCCCCACCCCCTCATTACAAATTCTTATTTCATAACGTGATTAATGCAGCAGGACTCAGACTTGACAAGAACGTGCTTCAGTGACTGAAGAGCATGCTCTTCTGCCAGCTGTCTGTGCTTTTCTTCCTACTGCCAGTGCCTGCCTAAGGGAGGTGAGAAAATGACACCCTCGCCGTCTCCTGTCCCCAGGATGTAGCACTACCTGCACGGTGCTGACAAGACACTGAATGCATTGATTAGTAGGTGGTGTAACCCATGCCTTAATATCATCTGCAGTCATTAAGGAGGAATGGGAGCACGGAAGTGCTTTCTGCAGCGTTTTCGGCGCACACCATTAAGAGTAGTTGCCTAACATGACCCTCTGGGAAAGCGAATGGCGTGAGTGGAGCCAGTTTAAAGATCTCCCTCGATCCGTGCAAGGCAGGTGAGTCAGCAGTACCTCATGGCAGGTTGTTAGCAGTGAGTGCAGATGTTCCCGGTCACCATGCCTGTCTATCAGAATAGTTGTGTCATTTCCACGTCACCCGAGTGCAAACTACAAATTGCCAGAATAGTAAAAGAATGGACTGAAAACATTGTGTGTTTGGCTGGATACTGTCAAATGGCACTGGCTATGGCTTTGTCAAACAGGTTGCATTTGTGTGACTTGGAAACAGCATGCAGAGGGGAAATGAAAAAGAATATAGAGATACTGCAGCATTCATAAAAGGCCATGATGTAAAGGGTCTTTTATAGCAGGAATCCTCATAATACAGTGTTGATTGTTACCCTTTCAGTACAGCGAATGGTAATAGCTTTTGCTAAATATTTTCCAAATGCAGCTGTTAGAGTGAAATGCAGAAATATCCAACATCATGTTGTTGGGAGCTGAATTCTGCCCTCTGACCTGGTAATTCAGAGGATGATCAGCAGGAGGTGTTGGGGGGGCAGGGAGGAAATCTCTTGGCTTTTTCATCTATTTCCTAATTTTATCACAATATACAAAGAAGCCCTGAAAGACCCTGGGGTTTTTTTGTTTGTTTGAGGTTTTGGTTTTGGTTTTTTTTTTTTCTTCTTCTACAAATTCAGGCTCTGAGGGCTGTTGCAAAATGTGATTGTGTTGTAGAAAACTTTTCTTCCCTCCCGCAAAAATCCCTTGCCTCGGTGAAAGCTCTAGCATCAGGGTGGTGCTGGGTAACCACTGCTTTCAGCACAGCGAGACCTGATGACAAGGTTTACAGAGCACAGGAGTAAAAAAAAAAAGTCTCACTGATGGTGATCAGTGTCTTCTGTCAACTGTGGAAGTCTCAGAGTCGCCACTGTTAGTTGCACATTAACATACAACCCTTGGAACAAGGAGCGGAGCCTAGCTGAAATACAGAAAAAGTATTAGTGTCATTAACACATTGTTTACCTGAGCCTGGAAAGTCTGGTCCATGTCAGGCCTTTTGGGTGATGCAGGTGTTTTATTGAAGGGGAAAATTGTACAGGGTTTAATGTTGTGTAGGTTTTGCCTTTGAAATAGCAGAGATTACTATTTTGTTGCTTTTTGTTATTAGTTAATTTAGCGTTATGCCTGCACTGCTTTGCATCTCTCTACTGTAGTTGCTTTGTTTTGTGCTGTGCAGATGAAAGCTCTCACTGAAGTGTCTTAGGCCCTTTGGGGCTAAGGGGAAGGCAGGCTGTTTTAACAGCCTTTCAAAATGACCTGAAAAAGGGAGTGGAAATGCATGCTAGGCTTTGTCTTTTCTTTTTACCTTTTTTTTTGTATTTTTTTTTTTTTTTAAAAAACTCTGCTACAGTGTACATAGAAAGCCCTGGGGGAATTTCTAAAGGATTTTACTCGGTTTGTTTCTTCTCTTAGAAACCCACTTCTTTTTTTTTTCTCTTAAGCACAAGAGCAGCATTGATTTTTTTTTTTTATTTTTTTTAATTGTTTAATAACATGACCTATATCCTGCCCCTCTTAACCTGCTAGAGTGCCTAGTCATCTGAGTTCATTAGCAAATTAAGAACACAAATTAAAAACTCCATGCTATGTCCCAAGATGCACATTTTCTGTGTTTTGCAGAATCCTTGGTTTCACCTAGATGCTTTTAAAGACCTGCAAACAAACGGGCATAACATCCATTTTGCATTACATGATGGTGTTGTTGGCAGTATGTTTAAGATGTGACACTGACTTAACCTTGACTAAGATATACTGTTAATTTATTTTCAACTTCCTTTTTTTTTTTTTTTTTTAAAAAAAAGGAATTTTGGTTAGTGTAAGTAGGAGTAGGTACTGTTGTCAAAGCCCAACACACATAAATGCTCTTGTAAAGACTTTTTAAGGTGCTTGTAGTTTATGGTAATATCTTCATGCTTAGCTTTCTTGATGCAGAAGCTTTAAAATTCATTGTGGTGTCGAGACCTAAGGCGACTACACAAAGAAACCATCTCTATGGCTTGCAGAAAGCTTTCAGCTGTGATGGTTGGGGACTGCATTAGAGGGCAGCCCAAGATAAGTTTTGTTAGGCAACAACCATCCACTGTCAGTGGTTTG